CAAATGGTGTCCGTGAGCTGCCAGGAGCTGCCCCCCTCCTTGGCCGGCTCCTCCCTGCTCGAGGGCTGTGCGGGTGCCCTGCAGCGCAGGATGGCACCGTCCCTTCTGCCGGGGCACGGCAGCGAGGGGGCGTCCGGCCACCCCGACGGCTCTGCCCATGTCCTCGCAGGGGGCACCGGCCACGCTGAGGACACCCCTGTGAGTGCAAGGGGGGAGGATGCAAAGCCCCACGTCAGCGTCTGCGAGGCTCACCTCAAGCTGCCCGACTTCTGCGGCAGCCAGGACTTCATCCCCACCCTGGAGGAGATTGAGGAGTTCCTGAGCGAGAAGGCCGAGTTCCTCAGAGATGAAGCAAGTGAGCTTCACCCAGGGAAGATGGAGATCCAGTCCCAGATCAGCTTCGGCAGCTCTGGGGAACAGCCTGTCCCCAGTGTGGTTCTGGAAGACGATGTCTCAAACACTGCCCAGCCTGCAGGGACAGAGGATGGCAGTGAGCAGGCAGCAGCTGCTGGGAGTGCTCCCATCGTCCTCCAGATCCATCCTCTCCAGATGGACGGTGACCACCCGCTAGCACAGGGTGCTGCAGCTGGTGTCAGGGTGGCCCAGCTGGTCATCAGCTTGCAGGGCCAAAACCTGTCCCTCCTCCCTCAGGTCCAGCCCCCTGTGACCATCATGGACCAAAAGTACGTCAAAATTGCCCCCCAGCCAGTCGCCGTGAGGCCAGGGGACGTGCAAGAGGTGGAGGCCACCCCCAAGAACCAGAGAGCCCTCCCTGCCCTGGTCCGTGTCCATAAGTGCTCGCACCCGGGCTGCGGCAAGGTGTACAGCAAGAGCTCGCACCTCAAGGCTCACTTCCGCCGGCACACGGGCGAGAAGCCCTACACGTGCGCCTGGCCCGACTGTGGCTGGCGGTAAGTGGGAGTTCGGGACTGTGAGCGGGGGTCCCTGCCTAAACCCTGCCCCTGCTTGCCAGGAGAGCTCTTGGCTGTGCAAATCTGGGATAAAATCACAGGTTTTCTTTCCTGAGTTATAGGTGAGAGTGGAAGGAGGCCTGGGGGAGTGAAGTGTGTTGAGTGGTTTGGGTCGTTTTCACTGAATGTGCTGAAAATCTCCAGCTGGGAAGCGGAGCTGATGCTCCCCCAAACACCTCAAATCCCCCTTGAACTGGATGCCTAAGCACCCTCAGGCAATACAGCTTTTCCAAGTGATCTTGTAACTGTGCAAGGTTTCTCTGCCCCGTTCAGGACAATTCCTGTGTTTGGGCTACAAAAATAGCTTTTCCCATCAACATTTGTCCCAGGAAATAGGAGTCTCCCTGCTTCCTCAGGAGCCAGTGCGTGGTTCTGCGTTCATTTAGCAACCCTTTGCTTTCTCTTGCTGTTTGCCTGCCCTGGCTGCTTGAAACCCATGAGCCTGCAGTGCATTTTTGTGTTGCAATTCACTGCTGTTTCTCTGCACACAATGGTGGCTGCCATTCTCTTTCATCTGTGTTCCCTAAATTAACCCAGCTTCTGAATCTTGCTGTGCTTCCCTCATTGCTTTCTGCTGTGGTGTTCTCTTCCTGGTACTGCGTTCCTGTCCTGGGGAGGGGATGCTTGGTGCTGCCTTTGGCAGAGGGCAAATAGTGCTCATGTCTCGTGTAGCACTTGCCATCAGCAGATCTCAGAGCGCATCGCAAAGGAAAGCGGTGCTGGCAGCGCTGAGCTTCCCTGCTCTCTTGTGCAATGCTTTGGCAGGCACTCGCTGCCTTGTTTCCTTGATGGCGTTATGGGATGAGACTAGATCTGAATTCTGGGACTCCCTCTTTCCGAGCTGCTGTTTCTTTGCCGTCAGCAATCGTCCTTCCAATTCACCTGTAACTTCAGTGCATGTTTATGGGCATTGGCTCCTTTTCCAGTACCAACCAGTGCCGCTAAACCCTCCTGCACCTGATGCTCAGGGCCTGGGAACACCCACACAACATCACCTCTCCCTCTGGGCAGGAGGAAGGGGTCGGTGCAAGCCCGTACGATAGTGCCCTGCATGCCGTCATTATCTCTATCTCTGTCTCTATCTCTATCTCTATATCATCTATACCTATATCTATATATCATCTATATCTATATCATCTCTATCTCTATCTCTATCTCTATCTCTATCTCTACATCTATATGTCATTTCTCCTGGCCCTGTTTTCTATGAGGAGCTGAGACCCTGGAGCTCACGTCTCGCAGTAAAGCTGGAGAAGAAGTCAGAGTTTTGCAGGAAGACCTGAGGAGGCCCTGGGACGCGTTTTGCTTTCACGGAGCCCTTTGTGAGCTCTGTGTTTGCTGCACCAGGTGCGAGCTTGAAATCCTCTCGCTGGGAGTCTGGGGTTACGTCTGCAGCTCCTCGCTCTGTGCTGCTTTGCGTGGACAGGTTCCAGCCTGATGGAAAAACCCTTCCACCCCAATACCTGCTGTCTGTGTGGGCTCCTTGGAGACCAAACAGGAGCAAATCCTGTCCGGTCCCCACCCCAGCGCCCCTGCCACTCAGACACACAAAGTGTCCTGGAGTCGCAGCAGCTCCCAGGCCGTGCTGAGACCTTTGAGGTGGTGCTGGTGAAAACGATGCCCCAGGTGAGGATCTGTGTGTGCCAGGTGGAAGAAAAGGGGCAGGAGAATTAAGTGGGGATGTGCAGTGGTTACAGGGACTTTCCAGGCAGTTCAGCTGCTCTTTTTCAGGTGTTGGAATGACAGACGAGCAGCCTGAGCACTGGGTGCATCCCCACAGCAGCAGTCAGCTTGGTTCAGCAAGGAAACCCCTGCTCTGTGCTCCGGGCTGGGTGTGTTTGCTTCTCCTCCCTTGTCTTGGTGTCTGAGCCAGCTCGCAGGGTGCTCCTGTCTCCCCAGCTCCCAGTCCAGCCCCAGCTGACAGCAAAACTCGCTGCCGTTCTGAGAACCGAGGGGCTGCTCAGAGCTGGCAGGGAGAACCCGCACCCTCAGGAAAAGCAGCCCTTCCCTCAGTAAAACCTTTCCACGCAGGCTTCTGACCCTGTCCTTGTCGCTGCCAGCCTGGGCTGATGCCCCAAAAAGCAGATTTTCTCAGCACCTGGGGCTGTCAGCTCCCAGAAGGTTTCAGCAGCTCTAAACTGGAGTGCGTAGGTGGACAGTGGCCTTTAAGGAAAGAAATGAATGATTTCCCTCTTTCCCATCTCTAAATCACCCCTGGAGGGTGCTGGGTCCCTCGTGTCCCCTGTCCTGTCCGGCAGCGAAGGCCGGCTCCACCACGCTCCCCCTCTCCTGCAGGTTTTCCCGGTCGGATGAGCTGTCCCGTCACCGGCGCTCCCACTCCGGTGTGAAGCCGTACCAGTGCGCCGCCTGCCAGAAGAGGTTTGCCCGCAGCGACCACTTGGCCAAGCACGTGAAGATCCACCGGGGCACAAGCGACACAAGTTGAGTCCTCGCAGGGCTGAGTCCAGGAGCCCCCGGAGCCACGCACGCAGAACACAAAAACCACTGCACTAACAAATGACTTTAACAAATGATGGGAGGGCCCGTGGTACACCTCTGCTCAAGGATGACCTATAATCAGGGCCTGTTTCTGGTACTGCTGTCCCTCTTTTAAATATATGCGATGGAAACCTAAGTTAACTGAGGGTGAGGGTGTGGGGAAGCGGGGCTGGGGTAGGGGGCAGCTTTCCAAGAGCCCTTTGTGCAGGTTGTGGGTGTCCCTTGCGTGCTGCGGGGCGGCGTACAGCTCTCCATCCCCACCGCGGGGCTTTTTGGGGCTGAAGGCAGCATTGGGGTGGCCTTTGTGGCATGGTTGAGGTGGTTGTGTTGTCCTAAGCTCTGCTTTCCTGTGTTGGGGGTTTTTCCCCTGCCTGGCACTGGGCACACTGGTGTCCTTGGGGTGCGTGACGTTGTGGCTGTGGTTTGAGGGGGAAAATGCATCTGTGCAGCTTGCTCAGCGGCGCGTGATGGGAAGAGATCAGGAGAAACGTGAGCAGCACCAGAGAAGCCCCTTTTCACAAACTGGTGTGAGAGAGCATGGGTCTGGAGAGGCCCGGGTGTGCCTGGGCTGTGGGCTCCGGTCCGGGGAGCAGAGCAGCTCCCATGTTGCTGACGTCCTTTCTGTGTTTGACTTCTGGTTAATTAAAGGCCAACTCCTTGCTGCTGTGCCAGCTTCCCAAGCCTTTGCAAACATCTGGGAGGGAATTAAGTGCTTGTACAAACAAAGAGTAAGCGTCAGGAGTCTGAGCCAGGCAGCGTGCCCTTTCTGCCTGGCTTTGCCAGCGCGTCTCGAGCTGATATTTAGCGCCTGCAGGCTCTGCTCAGCTCAGGTTTGCTCGTGCCGTTGTGCTCTTACCCCGGTGCTCTTCAGGGTAGGACTTCATGCTGCCCTTGAGCTGCCTTCAGTGAGGAGCGTTGGGGTGTACCCAAAACACAGAGGGGGAAATGAGCTGAACTCTTTTCCCTGCCCTGTGGAGGGCTCGTGTGTGCAGCAGAGAGGTTCTCTGGTCCCTGCAGCCCTTTTTGGGTGATGACTCCCCCTGCAGGGCCACCATCCAGCCCAGGACCTGGCACCAAAGAGAAGGGTCTGCTTCCCCCGTGCCTTTGGCCTCTGTAAACAGCAAAAGCTTCTCTAAAGTGGAAACTTCAGCATGCAGAAATGCTGTTTCCTCAGAAAAAAAGCTGGCTTTGTGCTGCGGATGCCTTCTCGTGGAAACGAGCAGGTTTGCTGGGCAGCTCCAGCCCCAGCGCAGCGGGGTCTGACTGGCGGCTCCCCCAGCCGCCGGCTGCGGCCGTGCCGAGATTCCCAAAGCGCTGGCGTGGCCCTGTTGCGTTTTGTGGACACCTGCAGCCCTCGCTTTCCTAATCCCCAGGCGGGGAGCAGGGTTTACAACAGAAATAGCTGGAGCCACGCTGCTCGACTGCAGATCCGAGCTTCCCCAGAGCTCTGGGAGGGCTGGATCCTGGACCCCGGCTTCAGCTCCCTCATCCTTAGCTCATCAGTGGGGAGGTGTGGGGAGGCTGCACCCAAAGAGCAGCGAGGTTTCTGCCCCGTGCGTGCAAGTGGAAGTGTCCAGACGTTGGCTTTTTGGAGAGAGCTCTCCCCTCCGGGGAAGGCAGGCGGCTTTTGCAGGCATTAACGGGGCCCTGGGCCTGCCTTGGGGAGCGAGCGCTCTCCGTGAGGGCTCCTGCCTCTGCCCTGCCCTGGCCGAGCGTCAGCGGATGGCAGCAAGAAACACAGCCCCAGTTTGCGTGATGCTGAGCCTTTCATGAGGAGCCAGGTATGCGAGAGCCTATTTCGGGTTGCCTTTTGTTTTAGTGGGTTTTTGCCTGGCTATGAGTTTACTTCACACCCGCTTTGCCTGAGGGCTCTTTGGAGGCCGTACGCCAACATGACTCATGCCCGTCTCGTGCTTTTATCGTCCCCCTTTGCTCTGCTCCCTCGCTCCAGACTCCTTCGCAGCACTCCCAGTCCATCCTGGACCTGCCCCATCCTGCCTCCCTTTGCTCTCAGCCGAAGGCAACTGGGGTGGTTGCGTGTTTCCAGACTGTGGAGCAAGAAGAGCTGCGCCTCATCGGCAGTCCCAGGCCCTTCTCCTCTTCGGCAGCTTTATCTGCAGAGTCCACACCAGTCCCGGGGTGGATTCGCTGTGGAAGGCAGCACTGGGAGTGCTGGCAGCTTCCCTGGTTGGTTTTGCCATTCCTTTGAATCAAACCGCAAAGGGAGGGGAGAGATTTTTATAAAATAAAATGCCCTAGATCCGTATCTCTTGTGCAATGCGTGTTGTAGTCTCACCTGCTTCCCTCTGGGGCCTTGGGATGAACGGCTTAGGTTCACTGAAGGCTCTGTAATTACCCATCCTTTGCTCCAGTGAGGATATTGCTCCACAGCAGAAATGTTCCTTGTGGAAGCACAGATGGGATCTGTGGCATCAGGAGCGACGAGGCCTCTTCCCATGGAGCTGCCAAGGGGTGCACAGACTGCGCTGGTGTCACCGGGGCTGCTGGGTCCAGCCCTGGCTCCATCTCAGGTGGTGCCGCTGAGCGATGGGGACCTGTGCCCTGTTGGTGGGGTGGGAATGGGAGGAACTGGTTGCCTTGTGCTCCCAGTGAATAAAAAAAGGCTGTCAGGTTGCTAAGCAGTGCTTTTTAAGAAACGAAACGCGAGCAGACAGGAGTTGTAGCGGGGCAGGACGTGGGAGAGCACAAAGAGGAATCCAGGCGATGTTTCTAAATTTGCAGCTGTGGCTCTGGATATAGCAGCGCAGTGCAGGGCCCCCCATCCTCAGCGGCTGCAGCCCACGAGCAGCTCGTGGCTGCGCATCCTTCGAGATGAGGTAAGGGCCGGCGCTGATCCATGGTTTGCCCCTTTGGAAATCTGTCTCCAAGGTGGACCATAGCAGCGGGTTTTTCTTTCTTTGCCCCAATAAAATCAGAGCTGGAGTTTTATTAGCGAATCTCCCTTCCAGAGTCCACGTTTACTTGGGGCAAAGGCAGTTCTTGGTTTCTGGTTCTCCTGGTGGTTAAGCAGCAGGAGCTGGCTTGGGGCAGGGAGCAAACGGGAGCCGTGAGTGTTCCCAGAGCAGGAAAAGGCTTTTGTGGGCTGGAAAACAGGCAAACCTTGCGGGAGCTGAGGGCTCCTTGGCTGCCTCCCCACTTGGCCACCCCTGGGCAGATCCTGGCCCTGAGGAACAGGAGTTTTGGGAAGCAGGTGGAGGTTTGCAGCCCTCTCAGCAAGGCATTAACCCCAGAGTGGCTCAGCAGCGCTTCTCAGGGCTGGAGCTGGAGGCAAAAGGGACAGGAGCACATCGTTGGTTCGTGTGTATGCCAGGACACGGTTCAAGCTGTTCTGGGGCCATGGCTAAGCACAAAACACAACATTTCCTTGTACAGAAGGGGGTTTATGGTGGCCTTGAGCTGCAGCCGATGCAACGGCTCACACCTGAGGCTCTGCTCTCCCTGCAGCTGCTGCCCTGGGAGCAGAGGGGTTAAGGGCACAGCCAGGCTTAATGAAGAGCTAAATTAAAACAGCTGGGTGGGTTGGGTTGACTCGGCCTGGCCGTGCTGGCTGCCTTTCTGCTTCATCATCAGCTTTCTAGGCAGGGACAAGGCCGCTCGCAGGGCGACTGGAGCAGGGAAGAACATCTCTGTAGGACCAGGCTAATGAGCGAGTGGCTCCTGTTGGTCACTTGCCCCTCGGGGCTTGGTGATCCCACCCCTTGGTCAGGGGCTCGTTGTTAGCATGGCCTCGGGACAGGTTGTTTTCAGGGCTGCACCCTTCCTAGGAGCGGCTCCGTGAAGGTAAAAGCTGCTTTGTTTCTGGTGCTTTGTCTGCGTTGCTGGGGAGGGCTCCCAGCCGATGGGATGCGCTCCTGGATGGAGCCCTGCAGGAGCGAGGGGGCCATGGTGGCTGGTGCCGTGTCTTGTTTGATCTTGAAGGGCTTATCCTGCCCTGGGAAATCCACCCAGATAAAGCCTCTTTTGGCTCAGTGCGTGGTGGGAGGGGGAAATCAGATACGTGAGATCAGATATCCACGGATCTGTGCTCGCTCTTGGAAACGTTGGCTTTTCTCTGCGAGTTGCAACCGATTTCTCCCCAACTGCATTTTCACAGCTCCTTGCTGAGAGAGCTGAGCGCTGCAGGCTGCTTCTCACCTCTTCTATTTCAGACCCTGGGCTGTTTGCACAAACTGCGTGCTCCAAAATGAAATTCTAGTGCCATTTAAATGGTCACGACGGGTCTTGACTCTGCCCTGTGTTACCGCTGTGATGGTGCTGTTGGGTTGCGCCAGGAGGAGTCAGGGAGGTTTTTAAGGGTTATATTCAGGAATTTAATTCAGGATGTGGGAACTTCAGGAGGGGAATTGTGCTTTTCGTAGGAGAGAGGCTGTGGCGATAACGCGGTGGAAACAAGTTTGGCAGCGTTGTGTAATATCCAGAGATCCTCTGGGGCACAGCTTTAGGGCTTAACTTTCCTAAGCACCTGAAACCACCTCCGAGTGCACCCGAGTCCGTGGAGGCCAAAAACCCCTGCCAAAAACCAGCCTTTCTCCCGCTGTGCCTGGTTCCTCGCTGTGCAGTGAATTCTTGTGTAACCGGGTAATTCTTCCTCTTCCTGAAGCGAAATCCTGAGTGTAGCTTTGGATATTATCAGCTGTGAAGTGATGTGGGCAGTGCACATCCTGCTCAGCAAAGTACTCGGGAGCACATGGGAGCGTGCAGTGAAGTCCCCTGCACGGGTGGCTCTGGAGAGCCTTTGATTTGCCCCAGATATCTCCTGGGGGGTGCAGATCAGCCACCCTTTGCCTGCTGTGGGACGCTGAGCTTCCCCTCTCCTGGTGCTCCAGGCAGGGCCTCTGGCATTTGCAGCTGTGGAAATCACAGAGATTGGACACCAGCAGAGATCTGAGGCTTTTCTGGGAGCAAACACCAAGACAAAGACAGAGC